AACAACAACAATCAACAATTTAAGTAGATGAATGCCACTTATAAGAGACTAACTTTATTTATGCCATGTTGTTGGTATGTGCAGTCAGTTTGATTACAACTCATAGCAACCCTGTAAATAATAGATGGAAACCATACAAACTATATTTTATAGAATATAGTTAGCAAGTCTTTATAAAAGAAATAATTTTGATTACTTACTAACTTAAATTCTTGTTTTATAATTTCTACTCATAAAAAATATGGTTGAATATATTCTTTTTTAAACAAATTTATTCTGATTTATTTACAAAGTTTAAATACATTGTTTTTCACAAAACTTCCTTCCCATTTCCTTCACGCTAACCACCCACTGAATTGTACAACCCTAAGATTAACACCCTACTACTCCAACCATCCACATCCCTCTATTTCCAGCATTTGTCCTTGTGGGACTGAGTTAGTTCACTCAGCATAATCTTTCCAGTCCCTCCCAAATTAAATAGTAATTTACAAAATCATTGCTCCAGCGTGCTGAATATGTTCTTGACATATGACAATGAATAGAAATCATAGTTGTATCACAGTACTTGAACTTGTGCTTGGTAAATTTTTGGTTAAAATATATTAAATAGCTACTCATTATGTTTCTCTCTCTCTTTTTTTGAAGCTGTTCTTTACCTCTATCCTGCACAATCACCACAGCCGAGTTTACTTTATGACCCTTGGAAAACTTGAAGAGCTCAAAAATAATCATGATGCTTAAAATATTACAATGATTTGTTTTCATGGCACTTGTAAGCATTTTCAAATTTCTAAGATTAAATGTGCTTTCAGGTTTTGTTGTTTTTAGGTAAAATTAAATCAGAGAATTAACTCTTAATATAGCACAGAATAGTTTTAATGAGAAGTACAGCTTTATATAAAATGAACAATTGCAAGCTCCAGTAGTGTACACTATTTTTTGCACAAACTGACTCTTATTACTGTGAATTCAAATATTACTCTTTGGACAGTTTGGACAGTATCTCTTTACAGATTTTACAAGAAGTAAAGAAAACTGTTAGTTTCCAAATAGTTTTCAGAAGGATTGACCCTGAAGGAAATTCTTTTAGGTGAAGAAAATTCACAACAAAAATGTGATTTGTCCTAAGTCAAAAGTTAGATCATAAAATGAAAATAATAAGGATTATGCAGTAAAGAAGATTAATGTTTTCTTAGTTCATACCTAAAGAAATTTTAGTGTTAATAGGAAAAAAACAATCAAACTTTTTCCATAGAGTTAATTCCCACTCCTAGTGACCTCATATTGCCAAAGTAGAACTGTACTCCATATGGTTTTTCAATAGCTGATTTTTCAGAAGTAGATTGCCAAGCCTTTCTTCCCAGGTATGTCTGGGTGGATTCAAACCCCTAACCTTTCAGTTAGCATCCAGGTACGTAATCATTAGTGCCACCTAGGGATACTCAATAAAGGGAAAAGAACTACCCATTTCCTCAGATTGTTTGAAGAACCGCCAAGGTAGTTAAAGCCCACAGTTAGAGAACAGGTGTATTATTTTCCTCCCATGTTAGGCTAGTTTTCTCCTGATAAGAAGAAAACCTCACATATTTTCTCAGAGCCCCAAAGATGTGCAATAGCTGTTCTACAAACCACCAAATAATACACTTGCAAGCCTGAATACAGGACTGATTTCCTATACACATGCACTGTAGAACTATTTTGTTTTGTTTTATTATTGACTTTTGTTTGATTGTTTGTTTGTTTGTTTGTTTGTTTGTTGGTTTGTTTTTAAGCTTTAAAAATATGCATCAAATTCTCCCACAGGGATGGATTGAAGGTTTTTTTCTGGTCAACAGCTTCAAATATTTAACCAACCCCATATAAATTTGCCTACTAGGTATGAAATAAAAACAAGAAAGCACAACAACAACAAAATTAATCAAAAAACCACAAAATTAATCCAAAAAACATTTCAGTAATGAGTCTATATGTAGACTCAGAGTTACAGATTGTAAAAAAAAGAAACTTGAAAAATTGTTTAAAATACAATTCATTATATAAGGAAAGGCCAGAAAATTATACTGATTATTGAAAATTGTATTAGTCCACTACCCAAATATCTTACAGATGCCATAGATAGGTTATAGTTATTACTATCTGATGAAAAGCATAATTTCTGCATTTCCATCCTCAGTACCATGGTTAGTTCTGAGGCAATAGAGAAGCAACAGAACTACCACAAAGTATACCTCAGTATAATTCCTCTAGTTCTGCTTCTGAAATTGGAAGACAGTACTAGTGGGATAATAACTTCAAAAAACCTGGTGAACCAAAATAAAAAAAGCAGCTGACTTTGTGTGATTTCAGGACAGTACATAATTTCTGGCACCTTTGGTGCTAGAGATGGTTTGGCTTTTCCTAACGACATATATCAAGAGTGCAGTAGCTCAATATTGATAATTTAGGAGAATCAGAATCCAGGAATTAAAGAAATAAATGTGATTCACATTTTTCTTACTGTGACACAATAATGTGACCCTGAAACTGGCTTACCCTTGCGTGTTTACAGCTCAAATGACTTTTAAAATCCAGTAGTTTAAAAAGAAAACACACTTTTATAGCAAATTGTTTCCTTAGAAGTAGTCTTAATTGTTATAAATTTGTACACCAAAAAGGCCCTGGGGAACTTTGTGCAAGTACCTCATCGCTGAGCAAATGGAGCTTGTTATGTTTGAATTTCAGACCTATTTCTCATATAAGTAGCACAGAATAAAGTATTTTAAGAATTCTTTTGTTTCCTTCATATTAGTTACTCAAAGTTAAGGTTTAAAAACAAGTATTATGTTAAAAATATTATTATTCTTGATATCAGTAATCATTGTACTAAATCAACTCCCATTGTACTATGTGTCATTATTCCAGTAAGCACTGGACATTGTTAAAGAACCAAGACAGATTGCAGATTTGTAAGTGAGCTTAAAGGAAAAGGTGTTAATGAAAAAGGCAATAGGGCACTATCAAGAAGGATGATTGGAAAGTTGTGTGGCTGAAGAGAAGCAAAACAAGTTGCTTTCAAGTCTGTTTGAACTTATGGTAAACCCATGTGGGTTAAAGTAGTACAGTGCCCAAAGGTTTTCAAGAATTGATTTTTAAAAAATAGATTGCCAAGCCTTACTTCTGAAGCACCTCTGGGTAGACTTCAACCTCTAACCTTTAGCAGTTGAGAATAAAAGCTTTAATCACCCAAGGACTTGGGCCAAAGAGAAAAGATTTACTAAAAACAGATCTTTCACCAACTGAAACTCAAAAGTGAAGGGACAATAACATTACAGAGTGAAGAAATTACTTCTACACTTCATCTTGGAGCAGTTAGCAACTAGAAGCCATAGCCCATTACAGAAGTATGGAGGGGGTGCCCTGGTTGTATGATATGAACTTTGATAAATTGTGAACACCATTATGGGCACAGTTATAGTCTTTTAGACTAACCCACTGTTGTTGGGCTGAATCCAGTGTTGTAAATCTTTACAGGAGGAGCTGGTGGATTCAAACTGCCAACCTTTCAGTTACTCTAAGACATTATATGCTATGCCACCAGGGCTCTTATTCCAGAGCACTTTAATTTTTTCACCAAAGCCCTTTTCCAGAGTAAATTACATCACTGAAAGTATTTGAATACTACAACATTATCGCTACAAGAGGTGACTAGAAAATTTGAGTTTATATCCGTTGAGGTAAGATTCTCAAACGAGAAGTAAAAAGAAGATACAGATAACAAACCTTATTAGATTGCAAAACAGGTACAACACATACATCTGCACACAAACACTAGAGTGCATAGATTTTCATATTTTAGGTTGCTTGTTTCTAGATAAAATAATCATTACTTTACGCCAAGACTCTATGCATAAAGTTTGGAATAATGTCGCATGTGTTCAATGAGATATTTTATGTACTCTTCAATTAGTTTCTTGAGATATGTCTATTTAAATCTACTTTGACTTAAAAATATATTGAAATGATCTTTGAGATTGTTAATTGTTTTATCAGAAAATCTGTAATGAATGATTGTTTATTCTATAAAATAAATTTCTTTTAAAAGTATTGATTGGGAGTGCGTTACTTATCTTGACTCTTAGCTTGTCGGGGACGGTAACCGGAACCCGCTGTCCACTCCTGTCGTCCTTCCTTTCTAGCCCGTAGTCAGAATGTATGAGTGCATCTCCATCCACGTTGGCCAGGCTATTGTCCAGATTGGCAATGCCTGCTGGGAGCTCTAATGTCTGGAGCACGGCATCCAGCCTGATGGCTAGATGCCAAGCAACAAGACCCCTGGGGGGAGGAGATGACTCCTTCAGCACCTTCTTCAGTGAGACTGGTGCTGGCAAGCATGTGCCCAGGGCAGTGTTTGTAGACCTGGAACCCACAGTCATTGATGAAGTTCGCACTGGCACCTTCCGCCAGCTTTTCCACCCTGAGCAGCTCATCACAGGCAAGGAAGATACTGCCAATAACTATGCCCATTGGCAGTATACTATTGGCAAGGAGATCATTGACTTGGTTCTGGACCAGATTAGAAAATTGGCTGACCAGTGCACAGGTCTCCAGGGCTTCTTGGTTTTCCGCGGCTTTGGTGGGGGAACCAGTTCTGGCTTCACATCCCTGCTGATGGAGGGCCTATCTGTTGATTATAACAAGAAGCCCAAACTGGAGTTCTCCATTTACCCAGCCCCCCAGGTTTCCACAGCTGTGGTTGAGCCCTAGAACTCCATTCTCACCACCCACACCACCCTGGAGCACTCAGATGGTGCCATCTATGACATCTGCCGCAGAAACCTTGATATTGAACGCCCAACCTACACTAACCTTAACCGCCTTAGTAGTCAGATTTTGTCCTCTGTCACTGCTTCCCTCAGATTTGATGGTGCCCTGAATGTCGATCTGATAGAATTCCAGACCAACCTGGTGCCCTATCCCCGTATCCACTTTCTTCTGGCCACACACTCACCTGTTATCTCTGCTGCTGAGAAAGCTTGCCATGAACAGCTTTCTGTAGCAGAGATTACTAATGCTTACTTTGAGCCAGCCAACCAAATGGTGAAATGTGACCCACGCCATGGTAAATACATGGCTTGCTGCCTGTTGTACCGTGGTAATGTGGTTCCCAAAGATGTCAGTGCTGCTATTGCCACCATCAAGACCAAACACAGCATCCAGTTTGTGGATTGGTGCCCCACTGGCTTCAAGGTTGGTATTAATTACCAACCTCCCACTATGGTGCCTGGTGGAGACCTGGCCAAGGTACAGCAAGCTGTGTGCATGTTTAGCAACACCACAGCCATTGTTGAGGCCTGGGCTTGCCTGGACCACAAGTTTGATCTGATGCATGCCAAGCGTGCCTTTGTTCACTGGTACGTGGGTGAGGGGACGGAGGAAGGAGAGTTATCTGAGGCCTAGAGGACTTGGCTGCCCTTGAGAAGGATTATGAGGTGAGTGTGGACTCTGTTGGAGGAGAGGACAAAGAAGGAGGAGAAGAGTACTAATTCCTTTCAGCCCTTTAGCATATCACACTCAGAATTGACAAAGCTTTCTGGCTAGATTATCTCTATCAATGTAATCATGTCTTATATTTTCATGTGTTCCTGTAAGATTTTTTTCCATCATGTCTCAAAGTAAAAAAAAAAAAAATGAAAAGAAAAAAAAAGTATTGATTGGTGTCATTATGAAAATATACTGATGTACTGGTCTAGTGCCAGAATTAA